CCAACATGCGTACCGAAAAGGTAAATCTACAGATACCGTACTTCATAGCTTGGTAGCTTAGGGTTAAAGACTTCTCGTAACTTTCTCGAATATTGAAAGCGTTGGACGTACTTCAAGAGATTATTCCTGACGCCACGGGGGCTGTTGGGGTGGATAACTCACTGTAGGAGTTTATCCAACAGCTATTCTGCGAAATGTCGATGCTTGTGACGAAGGTGTTCTTTCTCCACTTCTCACGCTTTTATGTGAAACGGATTGGGGAGTTACAAATGTGGTTGCATACGCCGATGACATTGCCACCACCTTCAGGTGAAAGTTTCGGCAAACGCTATGCAAACTAAGCAGCGAAAAGCTTTGCGATTTATCCAGGTGGTTCACACGCTGTAGCCTAAGCGTCAGCTCAAGCATGGTGGTGCTGGTCCTCTTTATGAGAAAGTATAAAATGGCTTCGGTTACTCTACCGGAGGTAAACGGCGTCCATTAGCTGTCTTGCTACAAATGCCAAATTTCTAGGCGTTATTTTAGATAAAAAGCTGAACTGGAAGGAGAATATGGTTCAGCGTTATGATAAGGCTTCTGTAACCTCCTGTACTTGTAAAAGGGTCATGGCGTCTTAGTCGCCGGATAAAATATCTTTCAGTTTACCAGACTACTGCGACGACTTCATTTTTAGTCATAGCCAGGCTGCAATCAAAGCTCCGAGCTCTCACGTTTTACTCAAAGATTGCACTGGACTGTCGCCTATTTCTACAGGAGATAGGGATGCAAATATCGATAATATCGGTTCGAAATTCGATGCTTGCCACCGATGTTTACAATTTCCTTAAATCGCTAAATTGACGATACATCGATGTCAGTTTCAGCGATGTTCTAAATATGGAATTTACAAGTACTCAGCTTTCCTTTGGAATTTTGTGGCGGTTCATAAAATTTTATTACTCATTCCTTGGGAGAACATTCAGAAATTCCGAGGTTACTCGTAGCTTTCATTATTAATAATGCTAACTTAATCATTAAAATAGGACCGGGCTCTCAGCGAACTTACTACGGTATGCATTTTTATTCTATTTATAGGAAGAATAGAAGAATGGTAAATAAATACAGGGAAATGTAAGTAATTTTCTAATTGAATTACAGAGAGTTGTAATTGAAAAGTTTTAAATTTTCGTTTTAATGTGACTACAACCTAAGTATGAAACATCGGAAACCATCGATATATCGATGTTTTTCTAGCGATGTATTTTAGCATCGATGTTCGATTTTCCGATGCATCGAATCAGCATCGACTTCAGCTCGTCCGAGCATCACCTCCATTAAGAAAGCCAGATGCTAGCGATAAAAGAGCATACCATATTGTCGAAGCAATTACTCGACACCATCCCAACAACGCCCTGCTTCGAAACGAACCACCCCTACAGCACGTGAGACGACACCTGCGCGCCAGATATCGAGCCGTACGTAGACCATTCGTTCGACACACCAAAATAGAGAGCGGCAACAAGCCTTAACACACGTAAAGACAACATCATACTAGGCGGTCGCCCTCGCCCATAAATATAGAGGAAGCGGAACTGCCGAGGTAGACCAGATGCGCCCTAGCACGACTCCGTCCTGGGTGATGCCATCGACTCAACAACTACCTCTCTCGGCTGAACAGAGGAGTGGCAAACACCTGCCTCGCTTGTGGGCAAGGTTCTCACAACACCCAACATCTCTTCCAACCGTACAACCCTGACACCAGAAACACTCTGGACTGCGCCCAACGACGCCGCCCGCTTCCTCGCAGAGTCAGAGGATAAAGATGATGACTCATGACAAAACCCTGGGGGTTGAGTACCTCTGCTGAAACAGCTATTCAGCGGGTGCTTTAAAAAAATCAGTTTACATCCAAAATGTTCTCTCGATAAAAACGACACAAAATAAACTTTCTTCGTGATACGCCCTACTACACATTCATACATATTCCTACGAGACAAATCTGACGGAAAGTAATACACACATACCAGTGAACCTACGCAAATGCATGTAAGGAAAATCCTGTGTACTAGCGAGAAAGAAACAGCACATGTTAAAAGGAAATCACACCTATAGGAAAGTATTAGATTTTTAAAAATCGCCCTAGATAATACTCCAAGTCGGATACTCAGATGATTCATCGGAGATCAGTCAGTTGTCCCGTAGGAAAGTTTTTCTGCTCTCGGATGTATACTTTATAACGGTGGTGGGCCCGGGAAAAGTTCCTTCAAGCTTTGTATACATTTAGTATAGAAAGCTTGAGAGAGCTTTGGACGCGGGCAAGCTGATGCCCACCACCGATTTATCATGAAAAGACAGGAAACGAAATATTCAAACTCCTATCTTCCGTATGCTAAAGTGGCAACTCTCAGTTCCCATTTAGGTGTTTTTAGTCTGCGCTCACATCGATGATCAATTTATAGTGCATGAAAAATGTTTGACAGTAAACTACCGGCGTACGTGAATAATTAGGTTGGCCTGTAGGTGTTGGCTGAAGGATTGCGGATTAAGGCCAAAAACATAGTGGAGCGGCGAGCGCAAAGAGCATCGAGCAAAGCTTCGATTTCAATCGCATATGTTTCAATGGGAGAGCGCATAACCTGCAAAAATCGTTGGACCATGTAGTCTATCTGTGGTAAATTGGAGTACTTACAAAAGTGTTCCTCTGTCATGCTGTAGCGGACCAACTCGTGTCTCTGCGCCAGCTTATTGTTTGTTATCCGATCACTGCTCGTGTGTTAACGAAATGTGATTGAAGTTGAGCATTTGAAAGCACATTTGCATGTCTGGCTGTAGCTGAACGTGTAGAGATGCTCGCTGTTAGTTCTTAGCCCCCAGCATGTTTGGGTTCGAATGCCGTCAGAGGCATCATGTAATTTTTAATTTTTGTCTTGGTTTTTATTAATTTCGAAAAAGCATTTGAGAAGTGAAGAACAAAAGCGCGTTCAATCGAAAAAATATAACAACAATGCCATTGTTAATATGTTGGAGTAGTTTTGTGCTACTCTGATGTAATGCATGGATGGAGTATATGGTCCTGCCCCAGGACATCGCAATGTTAATTGGACCATATTTTTTTATATGAATTGTGGCTAATTTTGGGTACTCCTTGGTCCTTAGGAAGTACTCTTTACACGCATGCATGGAGTAGTCTTGATTTTTGCAGGGTAGTGAAGAGCAAAGCGTGCATACACTTTTTTAATTGAAGCTTTGCTCGATGACAGCTCTTCGCTTCGCTCGCCGCTCCACTATGTTTTGGCCTTAGCAAGCCGGGAAGTCGTGGGTTCGAATCCCACTCCCAGGGAACGTTTTTTACATCTATTTTTGTTCTTTTAAATATTATTTAAATTTTTGTTATTTAATTATAGTTGTTGTGGCCTTTTTAATTAAATTTAAACTATAAAAATTTGATAATAACGAAATAATTACATATATGAAATACCATAAACAAAGAAAAGATATTAAAACAAAATTTAATAAAATAAAATAATTTTTGTGTTAGATAAAATAAAAATAATTGTTTAGAATCGCTCGGAGTGGGGACCGAAGCTGGGTGCTATTGCGTTTACTACTTCAACAACAAAATAAAACTTAGAACCTTATTTTTCCGTTTTAAACCCGCGTTATCCTCATTTTAAAGTTAAAATTCTGTTTTTGCCATAAAATGCATTTTAAGTTGACTATGATTACAATAAAACACAATTTTAATCGGTAAAAACTACTTCTAACTTCTCTGTGACCACGGGCCCTAGTATGTAGGTTCTCCATTTGCCATAAAGTGGCAACACTTATCTCTCAGAGAAGCTGTCACCAACAGCGTACAATTGCACCAAATTTGCTAAGATTTTTGAAAAATTTTAAGATTTGAACCCTACTATGCTTTATTCTACTTTTACTACGCTTTTTATATTTCATTCAACATATGGGCAGCAACTACTTGTAAATCACTATAACTTCACAGGACATGGTTTCAAGGTCTAAACGTATATTCTTACTTAAAATTGTGCAAGCGACTGACCAAAAATATCTGCAACGTTGATAGGCACCACCGGTCAAATTTTCGTAAACAGGCAGAAAGATTCAACAAAGCGGCTCACAGAGACGAAATGTTAGTTCTATAAGTTCGGTACTTCGAAAACGCCACTGTAAAATAAACAAATATTATACAATACAAAAGAGTTCAAATGTAATTGAAATTCAAATATTATGTTTACGTTTTAAGACATTAGTTGTGTTTTTTTACAAATTATCCAGTAACTTGCCAGCAACTCTCCAGTAACTTTATTTCTAAGAATTCGCTCTCATAGGAAAAATTTGCAATAAAGTACGTGAACGCTTTTCCAGTAATAATTTGCGAGTTTCATGAACAGCTGATAAATTTGTTGTTTATTCGCAGCAAATTCATAATAAAACAATATATTTTGTATTTAAATAGGTTTATTTTGTGAAATTCAACAATAACAACCCACAAACAGTTTCCTTATTAGTTTAAATTTCATCCAGAAACATGCGATCAGCTGTTTTTCGTACTGGCAAATTCTTACAAGTAAAAATTTATCCAGTAAAATCCAGTAAAAACTTGCAACCTCAACTGTCATTTTTCGCTCCCTCAATTTCCCCTACCTTGCAAGTTTTTGCGTACGAAAACGCCAAAACATGAAAATTCGTAAAAACTTTTACTGGATTTTACTGGATATGAGTAAAAAAACGCAACTATTAAATATGCACATTAATTTAAAATAACCAATTTGTATCTTTGCAGACTTTTTTTACTACTATTTTTTACTACTTTTTTCTGGTATTTTGCTACGCAATCGGATTCGTGAGTTGCATGTAGTGCATTAGTAGTAGAAGTGCACAATGCAACAGGGTGAAACCAGTGTTTAACACCCTATACTTCCAGTAGTGCATTCCAGTGACGTCCGGTAGTGCATTCCAGTGGAAGTTTTGTGATCTATCCCTGTTCTGACATTCATTCTTGTTTTTGAAGTTTTGTCTTAATCTTCGTGCAGTTAGAAAAGGAATTTTGCTGAAAACTTTGGAAAATTTGGTGCAAGCAACTGTAAAAAAGTGCAAATTGTAAAATGTAAATTCAATGCAAAAAAAAGCTGTAAAAAGTAAGCATTATCTGCAAAGTAGAGCAGTACCATCACTACCAACAGCGTTGCGGATAAAAAGGTGTCAGAAAAAAGGCCTGAAAAAGGGCGGAAAGGTGCACCCAAAAATTTAACGAGGAAGGGAAGCACAATCAGCAGTGAAAAAAATCTCCCATTATCGTATGCAGCGCTAGCATAGGTGTGTGCAAAATCAAGCAAAGACAAAGAATAAACGTATTAGCAAAGAAAATTGTAAGCAACTAACTAAAAGTAGTAATATAAATTTTTTTCCTTTTCCACGCACAAATACTTTCATACCTCGTCAGTCCAGCCCACCGCCCCGTAGCAATTGTAGTCGGGATGTCTGCGTTACTACAGGAATTAGAAATCTTTCAGCTGCGCCCGCTGATCACTAATTTTAGTTGCAAATTATCCACAGTGAGCGAGTACGATGTTCGCAAACAATTACTGTGTCTCGTCTCTGAAGAAAATGATATTGTGCTGCGCTACACAAGTGAAGGCGGACAGGAAGTGCTTAAATTGATTTCCTGGTTTCGACGCACCAATCGGGTAGTGCATGACGTTTGCTTTGATCCCTCCGGCACTTGGCTGTTGGTATTGTGTAAGTATACTTTACCGTTAAAAGGGTCAAATGACAAGTAATTTTTAGCAAAAAAAAACAAAAAATATTTATATATATATATATCATGATCCAATGATCGGATCTGAACCAGATTAGTATGGGACGTGGTCCAAAGTTATGCGGTAACATACATAAAAAAAAAATTTTCCGACGAACTGATAACCTCCTTCTTTTTTGGAAGTCGGTTAAAAATATGCTTACCTGACTTGGAAGTGACCAAATTCGTGCTATGCATATTGCTGCGTAAATTATTTTAATACTTAGCTAACGGTCATAATTAAATTTATCCATGCCCTAAATTTATCAAAATCTGTAGATATTACTTATTAAGGTATGAAAATGTGATTTGTGGGTGGGGTTTGTTGTGTCAGCTGGGGGTGTTCAACCGCGCATGGTTATGCCGATGAGTATGTGTGCCTCGGTGCGGGGCTTTAAGTGCCGTGATTAAAGCTGCAAAGCTATGTGATTTAAACGATAGCTTCGCTTGGACATTTACCCTCCTAACAGATATTCCATCGGTTTTTTATGCTATTGATTTTCGTTTTTTTGTTTTGCTTGTGCTACATGTTTGTTTATCAATTGATTTTTGCGGCGACCGCTTGCGCTTTCTACGCATAGGTGTTGGGGTACGTTGAACTGTGAAAGTAATATGGTAGCAAAAGAAGTGGGGTGCAGTATATGTCAATACTTTGATAAATGCAAAAGACCTACGGCCTCGTCTTTGTTTTGCGTGTGCCGTCAACGTCAGTGTCTCTGTACGCTATCACGCCATCATTGTCGCTCTAGACAGCTTGTCGCTGTAAATTGAGTTTACACAATTTGTATAACCTGAATTATCGAATGCATTTTTCTTTCGTACATATGTATTAGATCAAAAAGTTCTGGCATCGTATTGGTTGTTTATAAAGGAAACTTAAATTGTTTTATTGAGCCCCAATTTTAATCAGTCTTCAATTTGTAAATAAGTTGTCAAATTGTAAATAAATTGTAAATACTTCATAAATACTTATATGAATTACCATATTCGGGGGTTCTATAACATGATGGTCCTAATTTTTTTCCTAAACTACACATAAACCTAACTTTTAATCAAACCTCTAAAATATATTTTTATATTAACACTTTATAATATTAATTTCAAATTGCAAGGCTTCGACAACACATTGCACATTGTGCCTGCACTCGCTGTGGTTGACAAAACATTCATGGAGCCAACGAATTCAGCGCATCCGCCGCAGCAGCCATACAGCACAACACAAATTACCTCATACATTATCCCATTTGTTGGACCACACGAGTGTCCCAATTCAAAAAAGTGCCCTAACCAGGCCACATTCAATGAGACAACAGTAAAACCGCAATCTCCATCACCACCCGTAATGCCTACGGATAGCGACGAGCAGGGAAAAAGCCTTGCAGTGGCTGTGCAGCCAGCAGAGGGCGAAAAACTTTCAGATTCACGGGAAAGTATCGTACAGGCGTCACAATTACTCGTTGAAGTTGAGGTGAATATCGCACCTAAACTGCCAGTCGATGCGAATCTCGAAGCTTATAGCCATGATGTGCCCGCTAGCATGCTTGCGCCCAGCGCACCACCTAATGTCAGTGAAGATAAGACGGGTAATGCACAAGTCATGGCTACTTCCTTTATGGCATCGGTAACTTGTCCATATCCACTGGCGGTTGTATGGTGGCAAACTATTGATGGCGTAAATCGCGCTGTTATTGGCTATTCGGACGGTTCCATATGTTTTGTGGGTTTGAGTCCCAATTGTCCTTTTGTCGCGAGTACCGCAATCGAAACGGGGTCCATAGTAAAGCTGCTTATTTGCAAAGACAGCACTTTCGAGAGTGTTATGTTACTGGTAAGTTTAAAATAAAGAACTTTATTCTATGTAACCACTAACAAATTCTCGCTTATGCAATGAACATTCACAGATTACTTCCTCTCTGAAGCAGCAATTTAAGTTGCTACTGGAACAAAAGGCCATTAAATACATCTATCCCGGCGAGCTGTCACCCAGCACCGTGCACGGCCGGGACAGTGATTGGCAAATCGTTATGCCACTAAAAACGCAAAGTAACTGCTCTGATCCGGCATCGGACAACAGCCAGTTGGATGAAGATGTATTTCTAAAAAACGATGAGGTTCCGAGCACATCAAATGGTGTCCAACTGCGACGTTCGGGCTTGATTTCTGGTGCTCATATGCAAATGCCGAAGACAGCAGTGCCACCACCGCCTCCACCTTACACAGTGGCTATAAATCGGCACTTAGACACGGCAACCACAACAAGCATATCTGCATTAGGTGGAAACAATGCGGGTATGACGAATAGCAGCACCAGCATTTCCTCTACTACAGCCATTGGCAATGGGAACTCTGCGACGGGTGTACGTTTCACACAACAACAGCTGCCTGAATTGGACGATGTGAATGCACGTGCTGGCATTTTGCCAGCGGCACGTGCACGTCTAGCCTCTTTGAAGAGCCTAGGCACAAAAAAGCTTAATGCCATCAAAATGCGTCTTTCCGATAATCGGCAAAAACTTGAAGACTGTAAGTAAATTAATTACTGGTTCGCATAATATTTATCGCATAAAACATTAAAAAAATAATAATTTGGAAAAATTAATTCGTATAAATTTTTCTAACTACTGTATTTTCTAAAACTATAATTTGCTTTTTATAAAACCTTTTCCTTTTTAATTTCTCAGTTATAAAATGTATTGTAATTTTGTTAAATAGATTGCGTGAGAAACGCGGTGAGTTTAGCCAACGTTTATGCCACAACACATGAGTTGTTGCCATGCTTACAATCATTTTCGCCGAACAGTTAGTGAAATCAGACATTCAAAACTCGTGTTTCAATACTCACTTAGCGCGAACTCTTAATTCACCTGCGATTTTGCGTTCTCTGTACAAATATGTCCTCCAAACATTTGTTTCATCTCCCAAGTTTCGTTACATTACAATTACAAATTGATGTTGTTTACGAATTTAATTGGCGGCCATGTATTTCTAATCGTTTTTGTCTTTCGTTGCAGACATGCCTGAAAATACTCTTGGCAATTTCGCTATTATGGATTCACCATCACTCACACCCGAAGTGCTTAACAACTCCAGTGGCTCCTTTTACACCATACAGAATCTGCGAAGCACCTATCTGCTAAGCGCGCTGCACAGTCACACAAACAGTCTGACTGTTCATAGCATTGATATTAGTTTGAAGCCACTGTTTTTATATAAAATCCCGAAGAATTGTTTTGATATACTAATAAGCTCAAATTTGCTCTACACTATTCAATATGTTGATATAAATGCCCATAATCCAAAGGAAACCATATCTCAGAACATCGAAAAGAATACAGAAAAGGAGAATCGCGACACAGATGTTGAAAAAGAAGATAACTATGCCGAGAAAGTGGCCAATGTGAGCGACGTGAGTGAAGATTTTGACTCGCTGCTTGCTGGCATGAACATAGCACCCTCATATAGTGCAGATACTAGTGCGACCACAAGTGGGCCATCCAGCAGCGACAGTTTGTCGCCAAGCAATGCAGTGAATGCGGTAGGAGTGATCAGCAGTGCAATGGCTTCGTTGCGTACTGGCGATGAGGATGTGAGTATTTAAATATGAAATATAAATTGTTAAAACGTTTAGAATTTTCCTCAATTTAGCGTTTCAACACCTCCTCCCAGTTGACTGTTTTTCGCTTTGAAAATGAAACTGTGCTTAATCTCTATCAAATGGCGACCTATCATACTAGCGATCTAAGTGAAGTCATATCAAAGGAGGATAAAGCTAAAGCATTCGATTTCAAGGACATCCGCTCTCCCATGGATTACGTGCAGTTCTATGAGAACGCAGATGTCAAAGAGGAGTACTCATTGCGTCAAATGGAAATTATGAAGCATGAATTTCCAAAAATCAACTATGATCCCTGCTATGTGGTCACCAACAAAAATGTTTACTACATACAATTAAAGTGAATTTTTGTATTTTTTTATTAAATTTGTAAATTTCTCCAAATCTTTGATTCATTCCAGAAAAGAGCCGTTTGCCGTCTTCCTGGACTCTGCTTTAGCCGGTGAATGGACACAATGTCGTGAATTCTGCAACACCTTTGATCTCGCCTACGAAGCGTGCATAGAATTTGCGGGTGATTATCTACTGCGTCGCAAGAAGGTCACACAAGCGCTCGTCACCTATAATTCAGCACGAATTAAACCCATCCGTACAGCTCTCAAGCTAGCCATGTTCGGACAAACATGTGCACTAATGCATCTCTGTGCTATGGCGCTGAAAACGACATATCTGCTCAAGTCGAAATATTTTTGCAGTCCCATAATAAAAACGGTGCTTAAAGATATTACATATCGCCATTCGGAGGATGTGCGCTCCGTACTGCCATTCTCGAAAAGCACAAATCTCTTAAATGTGGTGAATGAGGGGCAATCAGCGGGTGATTACACATATGGAGTGGATGATTCGCTTAGTAATTTACAAATGTCACCATCATCACAATTTCATTTGGCCAATTTATTGTTAATAACACTGGCGGAACGCGCCGTGAATGATAAAAATTACTTACCACTATGGTAAGTATACGACTGTCATATGATTGGTACATTTTGTGAAATTAAAAAAAAATTTAAAAAACAACAGGAATTTCTTGGTAACCAACACAAAATACCACACGAATATGACGAGCATTGTACTTTGTCAAAGCGGGCTCTTCTCTTCTGCGCTTATTTTGGCGAAGACGCGAGGCGTTTGTATAGACACATTTCTGGCGTTGACCAGCGTTGTTGGACAGGAGTTCGGTAAATATCGTAAAGACTGTTTACAAGAAAGGAATAATAACTGTTTTACGTTAGGCTGGTATACAGAGATGAATGTGTGCTTATATAATTTGAGTGAACTAATGTTCGCTGAAACAATCACCTATTTGCCGCAGGTGGCCGTGGACTATTTTGGTTTTATTCAAGAGAAACTTCCGAATATACGACATTGTGTACTTAAGGTGGGTGCTTATTTTCATTAGAAATTATAGCAAAACATATTTTTAATCATTTCTGCTTCAGCGCTTAGAACAACAACTCAACCCTTTTTCTGCCGTACTTCGTCCAGTGGTTTCGCACACTTCCTCCGGTCACTTAGAGCTCAATATAAATGACAATAAAACATTTTTATTTGATTTTTGTAAAAATCTAATTGAGACATATTTAGCAGTTCTCATATACATGGAATCTCAACGTTCAAAGAGCGAGCACATAATCAACGCTTTATCTACATTTCGTATAACATACGAGGACAATCAGGTAGGCATGCTGGCAGTTTGATATTAATACTTCTATAAATAAAATACTAATATTTATCTTTCCTGACGACCATTATATGTTTTCACAGTTTGCAATCGAAACGTCTCGTTTCAAACCTATCTCAGCTGGTTGTGCACATTGCGCTTGCGTTGTGGATGGTGTTGCTTACTTTTGGGGTTCGAATGGAGTGCCTTGCAATTATAGCGTTAACAAGTCTTCCGGTATGTCGTAATTTTAAATACATAAGTAACTTTAATTCCTTCTTTAACAACAAATACTTTGCATTTAGATCCTCCAGAGCCACCACATGCAGTTAAAAGTTTAGATTTGCTGTCACAATTGAATTTGGAAGTTCATACAGTGAAATGTGGACGGCAGCATACTTTAGTATTAACGAACAATGGGGTGCGTATGGTTTTTTTACACAATTTCGTATACCTATAATTCTTATTGCATATAATTCTGATTTAACATTTCTCTGAAATATAGTTGTATGCCTTTGGCAACAATAATCTTCTACAATTGGGCACTGGACGCGATATGCAAGTGTCATTACAACCAATGCTTGTGCGCGCTTTCGATGGTAAAAATATAACAATCATAGAAGCGGGACAATATCACAATGCTGCTGTTGCTGACGGAGTGTTATATACCTGGGGGTAAGTGAATGGGCGCAATAGAGCAACGTATCTAAGTGATAAATTCAAAATTTTCTTTCTTTCTTAACTAGTTGGGGCATATATGGGCAACTAGGTCATGGGAACTGCGAGAGTGTGCCTGAACCGAAAGTAGTTTCATTCTTCAAATCAAAGGTGAGCCTTGGAAATACGAGTTTATTATAAACTTACTAAATTTTTCACGTTTTAGAAAATACTCCAAGTATCCCTGGGCCACGCGCACAGCTTGGTTCTCTGTCAGGCAACAAACAACCCAAATGCCACCGATTTATTTGTGTTTGGCTCTAACCATTTTGGCCAATTGGGTGTTGGTACAGGTTTGTCAAATTTCGAAGAAGGCAGCAACATTTCCGCCGACGATGGAATGCATTGCACTAGTCAAGTGAAGAGCTTGGTGCCGCTGAAGCTATTCGTGTGCGCCGAAAGAATAAGACTGATACATACCAAATTTTTTTCTAACGTAAGCATGCTTCTTGTGTTAATTTATTATTTTTTTCATACGCTTTATGGATCTCCCCACCAACTAATCGTAGTTAGCTGTCGATGAAAACGGGCACATGTACACGTGGGGCTCATCGCCACAGGCGCTACGTTTGGCGAATCAGATAAAACGACGTGCGAATGCTAAACAAAAAATGGAAGAGCATCAACGGCGTGAAATGAGCAAACGTTTCGAAGCTACATTAGCCAGTGACACCACAAGCACGCCTTGCGTTTCATCAACGTCCAAAAGCGCTTATGAGGAAGCACCCAAGTCGATGGCCAATGAAATTGTTTCTAGCATACTTACAGATGTTATTGACAAAACCGCAGCACCGACCGTTCTTGAAGCCACGACCGAAATCGCTCCAGTAACAAGTATGGTTGCTCCGAATACAAGCAAAGACCTAGAGCTCGATGAAGTTTTGGCATCAAGTGTTATTGCTGTGCAAGAAGATGACGAACTGAAAGAGGAGGGCATGAAAGAAATCATAGTTAAAGAAATTGCTGCAGCCGGCACTGAGATCACCATACAGTTAGTAAACGATGTTGTTGAGGAATTGGTCGAAAAAGTTAAGCCGATGGTTGCACAGCCGCTAAAGCCTTTGAAGCCTATTTCGCAGGAAGTTGACGGAGCTTCAGCAAACGCGGCAGACACCCAACAGCAGAAGGCAGGGGCTGCGACGGTGAATGCATCAGCTGCTGACGTCGATCCTTGCGAACATATGACACCACATTTGGTGGACACAACCGAAGTGGCAGGGCAAATATTACAGGTATATTAAGATTGATGTACTTCCAGTTTGGTACATGCAATTTCGTTTTATTTACTTTATCGATTTAAGATATAGTTTGTGAAGACTTCATGTACTTAACTTGAAAATAAACTGTATGGGCAAACATGTGAAAACAATTTTTTCAACACCAAACTTAGCTTTGCTATTTCTTTTCTCCACAGATCTCAAGCGGACTCTTCCACTTCGCCTTGATCTCATCCACTTGCACTTTGTACACTTGGGGCAAGAATTTAGAACACCAGCTGGGCACAGGCGATAAGGAGCGCCGTGCAGTCAGCAAACCCTCGCCAGTGGACTGCGTCGATCGTCCGATGTACGTTGATTGCGGCGCTGATTTTACGCTCGTCATGACCACTGAATACATGGTTAAGGCGTTCGGTGGCAATTCAAACGGACAGGTATATTCAGATATAGGTTATAACGCTACTTTTTTCTAGCAAATTATTTATTCACAGTGCGGTCGCGATCTGGGTCCCTCCATCGATAAAATGAAACAGCGTGTTGTTTGTTTGCCCACCACCAAGCGGCTAATGCGTTTCGAAAGTCAATGTGTAGACATGCCTGTCGAAATAAATTTGCCACGCCCACGCATACGTTTGGAATCAGATCCTGTACGCTATTTGAAAAGTATACCTAAATATCAACCCCAGTTCATGCAAGAGGCTGGCATAAGTTTCGATGATGCGGCTAACTTTGAGCGTCCATCGCCTTCGAATCAGTATAAGTCCACTACTCAGGCTGATAGTAGTGAGAATGTAGTTACCGGTCAAGACTCCGATGAAATGATCTCAAGCCTAGAGAATTTAAGTAACAATGAACCGAACGATGGGTGTTCATTGAACTTTTCGTTGCTGCCTTCGTCAGGTGCGGCTGGTGTGGTGCCTGCGTCAGCAGTAACGGCAGAAGATGGCCAGCATAGTATCGCTGTGGATGATATAACCCCAGATGAACAGAGTTATGCGCGCCTACCCGTTACGGATAACTCGGACACAAGCTGTGCTGTGGCCGGCCAACAGAGTGTGGAACAATGTCCACTGGTAGCGGAAACAAAGCTGGAGGCAAACGACGAACGTACACCACAAGCCGGTGGCTCGCAAAGTACGCTCACTTCGAATGCGCCCGTCGAAGGTGAAGAAGACACTTTGGAGGAGGACGAGAGTTTACAGCAGCTGCGTCAGTATATACACTATTGCTTGTACGTGTTCCACGGGTTGTACAATCCCGACAAAATTAGTGATTTCTCGAAAGATCGCCTGGAGTATCGCGTACGTACACTTATGCTCAATTTCAAATTTGTGGATGCGTTTGTATTGTGCCTGCAAAATTGCAACAGCGCAAATAAAGCATTGAAAGTTTTCGCATACTTCTCCAAGGACACGGGACTCGTGCCGCTGCGACGACAAGATGTGAAGTACTTAATTTACTATTTGATGAGACACTTTATGGCGCAAAAATTCGATATGCTTGAATGTGAACGTTTCTTTATGGGTGATCTTGAGTACTACTTGCTCGAATTATCGTATGTGCTGTTCTTTAACAACAACAATACAATGCTGGAGAGAAATTTAAATGAGAAATTCAAGAGCTATTTTGCGGACGAGGAAGCGCACCTAAATCAAAATCAAAACGATAATGAGCAGTCGCAACATAACCTGGAGGATACGGATGTGATATTCGATAGCCTAAGCGTTAAGTTCAAAACGATCGTTTGCCAGAGGCTGATGCAGCACTGCAACAATTAGTTGCTGGTGCTAAGCACCATTAGATTAACTTGTTTTTAATTTATTAATTCGTGATATGAGTTGTTTTTTAGTTCTTTCGGCGTTTTATATTGTATTTAAATTTACACCTAATTTATATATATTTGTGTTATAACGAGAAAATGTAATATACATATACATACATACATACATATTTATATTCATTTATACCTCATACATTATATGCGTTACTTATGTGTTTGAGTTGTATTTTTTTCTCTTTCCCTTGGTTTAATACTGACTTCGCCTAAAGTTAACGCGAAAAACGTACACAGT